AGCATAAATCAGTTAAATGACGAAAAATTAGGTGTCTATTTACTTGTGACCACTCAGTGTATATAGGAGAGATGCAGTCTCATTTTTGAATTAAAAATATACATATACCATGCAATGTTTCGACATTCAGTCAACATCTTTTGCTAGATGGTTCTCGTAAAGTTTATCATGATTGAGGAGATTGTGAAACCATGTCGTGTGCTGCAATATTTAGTGAAGGTCGTCTGTGAATTATTTTCTTTTTCCAGTCTTGGGCCAACACAGTATATTTGCAAAACAATTTGTGTTAAATTAGTTCAGCTCTGATTACAATGTGAGAATATACGTTTCGATTGATTTTGGGTGTTTTTTGTGGTGTGGTAAGTGGGGTTCCTTTGTCTTACCTTATGTTTATTTCCAAAATGTTTTATTACTATTAATATGTGAATTTTGAAATTACTTTTAACACAGAAAATACGTTTGTTTGTGTTTTTCTACAACATTTTTAATGGATGGTTATGAATTTGTTTGTATTGATTATCTCTGCCACTAATGATTGATCGTAGAATATTTACTGTACATTAACCGTAACAAATGTCACTTGACGTTCACAGTGAGCCAAGAATAAATAGGAGCTGAGAGCCAAGACAGTTACTGTCTTCTGTAAATAATACTGTGTTGTTTCACCGGTTGGCCACAAGGTGGTAGAAACTATATAATTCACAATTAAGTGTATTACAGTATGATTGAAAAAAATCACACAATACTTAGGTTTTTCTACGCCCTGTCTTTAGAGCCGTTAGACATATACACCACTGACGTCACCACACAGTGTTCTTACAAGATTACTGACGTCCCAATCAAATAAAGTTACGAATGAAAAAGAGAGAGAGAGAGAGAGTTAGTAAAGCATAAATACAACTTAGAAAAATCATGGTAAGGGTGGGGCTTAGAAATTACACGGTGGTGCACAATGTTTGCGTCATTTGTATGTTAACTGTCTGCACATGTTATCCTTTCAGGTTTACCGTTAGTTTTCATACTGACTTGGTGCCTCCTGATGTCACGTGACTTACATTCGATGTGCTGGAAAGGCTATGGAGACTCGGATTTCGTGTGGGTTCTAACAGGTCCTATGCTACTTGTTCTTTTGGTCAGTATGGCTCGATTTGGTTCGTTCTGTGTGTTGTTGAACTATAATTTGTTCGGTATCATAATTTATCATTTGCATAAATCTAAGTTTAAATCTAATGAAACAAGGTCTGGTATTGTTTGTTCTGTGTGTGTTGTTTAACAATAATTTGTACACTTTCATTATTTTTCATACTTCTGTTGAAAAAACAAAGTTAGGTAATACAAGCTTTGATATTGTTCGTTTTGTGTGGTGTTTAACTATAGTTTGTTCAGAATCGTAGTTTTACATATTTGTATTCTAAAAACATAAGATAAAGTGTAGAGAGTCTGTAAACATTTTCTCTGTTTATTTAATAATAAATCAACCAAGCTGTTATTTAGAGTGTTACTTAGATCTTACTTGAATATCCTCAAATACAGAAGGAATAGGTACTTGTGAAGAGGTTGCGTCAAGTTATAAAGGACGAGTGGGTTTTTCTTGGAATAATCTAATGTATTTAACTTTTTTTATATTTTAATTGTACTTAACTAAAATTACAACCTTTTCACTGCGCAGCTAGCCCTCAAATAGCTTTGCGTAAATTTCAAAGACAAGCATACAAGCTGATTTCCCCAGTCCCATTTTTTTCTTTTTCTTTATTACTGCTTATAATCTGAACAATATACTTTAGGTCAACACGTTTTTTATGGTGAATATCATTAGAATTCTGGTCACAAAACTACGAGCTAGTGCCTCAGTGGAAACAGCACAAGTGAGGTAAGAATAGGAAACTTACTGATCTTTTAATATTATTTGTTTAATGAAATAATTATTTACCTTCAAGCATTAAAAACAGAAAGTTTTCTTTAAGTAAATTCTCAAACAATAAGTTATAATCATAATGAAATGGTTATATTTTGGCCAATGTTCTGTCAAAACATGTATGCCCCCCACCCGTAAAAAACCTTCATTATGCTTATATATCATTCTTTGTCAGTATGAGTTTCTTCGTTGCTCATTTCTTTGTATTCCATAATGAGAATTAGTTAAAGACAATATTGTTATTAGATTTTCATCGTGAAAATCTTTATAGTAAGCGATTTACATATATTTTAACAGACATCAAATTCGTAAATAATAGACGGGCTTTAAACACAGTTTAATTACAACGTACACTTTCCATCATACAATCTTCTAAAGTTCACGAATGCATCGTGAGACAAAGTTAGTATCTCAGCACTAGGTTCTCTATATCGGATAACAAAACAAAAGTAAATAAACTCTTAAGTATTATTTTGTCTCATTTTCAACGAATATGTTAATTACTGTTTAGAAAGGCCATTAAAGCCACGGCCCTTCTATTTCCTCTCCTGGGCGTGACCTATCTTCTGTTTGCCATCAACCCGGGCCACGAACTGGAACAAACGTACATGATTACAAACGCTATTTTTCAATCTTCTCAAGTAAGTAACCGTTACAAGAAATAGTGTCAGCTAAGTGCAAATGTTAATCTGTTATCCTTTCCATTTTTCAACACCAATAATTCGTCTTTATTTACTGTGTTATCTTCATATTCGAATAAGAAACTGAGAACTGAAATATTTGTTAAGTTTTACATTGCAGACATTTTTCACAACCTGCCTTAATGAACAAACACATTACATAACGACTGTAATCTTAATCTTCCTGATTCTATATAAGTTTAAATTGATATATATATATATTTGCCTGATAATTATCACACTCACATATTCAATAAAATAGGCTTAAGCTGATCTTCCCTTTTTCCCTTGTTAAAGTTATCAACGGTGACGTATTTCTTAACTGTGAAAGAAAGCACACGGCGTTATTAATTCTAGATACATACTATGTTTAGTAACGAAATTGTTGATCTAGATTACGCTTTGAGTTCACTTAATTATCAATCAAACAACAAACTCAAAAGTTGTGTTACTGCATGTTCTGAGAACTGAAATATTTGTTAAGTTAACCTGCCTTAATGAACAAATACATTACATAACGACTGTAATCCTAATCTTCCTGATTTTATATAAGTATAAATTGATATATATATATATTTGCCTGATAATTATCACACGCACATATTCAATAAAATAGGCTTAAGCTGATCTTCCCTTTTTCGCTTGCTAAAGTTACCAACAGTGACGTATTTCTTAACTGTGAAAGAAAGCATACGGCGTTATTAATTCTGTATACATACTATGTTTAGTAACGAAATTGTTGATCTAGATTACGCTTTGATTTCACTTAATTATCAATCAAACAACAAACTCAAAAGTTGTGTTACTGCATGTTCATGGGGTTCCTATGAGTCCTTCTCCTTGGTACGTTAGCGGTAAGTTTACGGAAGTACAACGCTAAAATCAGGGGTTCAATTCCCTGTAGTAAACAGTGTGCAAATATCTTATTGTGTAGCTTTCCACTAATAAATCACAACAAACAATCATATAAGTGTGAATTATTCACCTACTGTTGTTGACTTGTATCTGAATTTTTATGAAAATCAGTTTATGAAGCCCCCCAGTGGCACAGCGGTATGTCTGCGGACTTACAACACTAGAAACCAAGTTTCGATACCCGTGGTGGGCAGAGCACAGATAACCCATTGTGTAGCTTTGTGCTTAATTACAAACAGTTTATGAAAAAAAACTTAGACTAAGATTTATTTAGCTAATCTTTTAAACACATTGATATTCAGTTTTAATAATTATTATAGTAATAGCTCTATTTCTTTTAGACATTCTGTTGAAGTAACGGCAATATACTATCATATTTAATACTCAATCAAAGTCATTTTGACATAAACATAGAAACAAGTGATGGTTCATTTAATATAAACATAGAATCAAGTGATGGTTCATTTAATATAAACATGTTTGATATAAACAGAGAAACAAGTGATGCTTCATTTAATATAAACATGTTTGATATAAACAGAGAAACAAGTGATGGTTCATTTAATATAAACATGTTTGATATAAACATAGAAACAAGTGATGGTTCATTTAATATAAACATGTTTGATATAAACATAGAAACAAGTGATGGTTCATTTAATATAAACATGTTTGATATAAACAGAGAAAAAAGTGATGGTTCATTTAATATAAACATTTTTGATATAAACATAGAAACAACTGATGGTTCATTTAATACAAACATTTTTGATATAAACATAGAAACAAGTGATGGCTCATTTAATATAAACATGTTTGATAAACAATATATTTCTTTTTACAAATCTCTGGATTGCTTTTGCTATTAGTAACGCCGGCCTCCCAGTGGCACAGCGGTATGTCTCCGGACTTACAACACTAGAATTTGGGTTTCGACACCCGTGGTGGGCAGAGCACAGGTGGCCCATTGTGCTTAATTACAAACAACCAGACAATAGTAACGCTCTTTATTCTTATATAAAAATGCTACGTTTCCTTCTTGTTACAGTATTGCAGAATTTCTAAAAAATTATAATATTGTACTACAACCTAGATTTGTTTTAGTACAAAATCCAAATATAAGGATCTTCAACAAAATTATTGTTTATTGGAATCTTATTAAATATTTCAGAGTATATACATAAAACAGTTTTGTATTTCAAAATAAAAATATTATTAAAATTATGAAAATTACTGTCATTCATGTATATCAAGTAGAAATACATTTATGTATATTATAGGCTAATTAATCCATGCCATGCATGTTATAGGCTAATAAATCCATGCCATGCATGTTATAGGCTAATAAATCCATGCCATGCATGTATATCAAGTAGAAATACATTTATGTATATTATAGGCTAATTAATCCATGCCATGCATATTATAGGCTAATAAATCCATGCCATGCATGTCTTCAAGTAGAAATACATTTATGTATATTATAGGCTAATAAATCCATGCCATGCATGTCTTCAAGTAGAAATACATTTATGTATATTATAGGCTAATTAATCCATGCCATGCATGTCTTCAAGTAGAAATACATTTATGTATATTATAGGCTAATAAATCCATGCCATGTATATTATAGGCTAATAAATCCATGCCATGCCTGTCTTCGATACGTATTTCTGCTATTAAATATATTTCCTACACTTTTATCAGGGCGTCGAGCACGTGTATTGGTTAGCATGCGTGGAATTTAAGCTCGTTTATATATAAACATATAAATATAATAGCAACATATTAAATGAAAAGAAGGCTAACACATATTTTGGATCAGAGATAGGGCTCCATCTCTCAACGCCACTTTTTAAAATAACACAATTTTTTCCTCTTCAGTTTGTTTATTGTTAAGCATAAAGCTATAGAAAGGGCTATCTGTGCTTTGCCCACAGCGGGTATCGAAACCCGATTGTTCGCTTTAGAAGCCCACATTGCACCGCTGAGCTACTGTGGAGCAGTCCTCTTCGTATTCAGTAAGTACTACCCAGCTCTCTCCTTCGGTTAATTTCTAAGCACCCCATAAACCCTCTGTATGCCCCAGTACTAAAATGCATATCTCTTTGTATATCCATTTATATTGCTCAATAAACCTTCGTCTGTTCTCATACCTATCTATATAACTACATGTTTTTTGTAGATACTTTTGTACTTGGCTGTTTTGGACTTGCACATTAGATCAAATCATATATATTGATCCTCATCATTATTATACCTTATGCACTAAATCAAATAATACAATATATGGGGAGACGATGTTATGTTAATTTTCCTATACAATGGAACTTCTATACTTAGAAATATATATCACATATTAACACATCGCGATTAAATCGATTTCAAGGAAGAAATTATATATTATTTTATTTGTTTGTTGTAAAGCACAAAATCGCACAACACAGAGGTGTACGAGACAAAATTAAAAGGTGGTCAAAGGTTTACATGATAAAGGCGCACCCATTACGGCCAGGGCTCGCCTTAAGACCCTGGAATTTGTTGTGTTCTGATTAAGTTATTGGTTTATGCTTTACATGAGAGTAATTTTCATAATTTTGATGCATTTTATCTGGGATAGACTGAAAAGTGGGGGCTCCCGGGCTCCCCCCCCCCACGATTTCTACGCCACTGCAATAGGCTATCTCTGTTTGGTCCACTGCGTTATAAGCTCTAGGATTTACCACTGATCCACCTGGAAGTTAAATGGTATAAAAGGAAAAAAAAATGCTGATTAAAGGATTTCTGCTCGCCATCCTAAAATTAGCCTGGTAAACCTCTTGAGCTTATACTACTGAAGTTCTCTTCAGTTAGACTATCTATATTTTGCGAGCCACCTTCAAGTTACTGTTTGAACTTACATCTATTAGCCCACTTAAAGTTAAATACTGGTGTATTTTTATCATTCTTTTTTTCGGGGCTAACTATCTGCTTTTTTCTGTTTATTTTTTTAAGTAAGAAAACTGTTAGCGGCTCTAACCGGTTCTCTACTTCAGTTCAGGTTATCTTCTAGTGGCTCAGCGGTAAACTTGAGAGTTTATAACGCTAAAATTTAGGTTTGATTCCTAGATTGGAAATAGCTCAGATAGTCCATTGTGTAACTTTGGCCAAACAAAATTCTTAAGCTTAATTAAAACGGTACTAAATTCTGGTTCGCATTTGCTTATTCCTTTCAGCTAGACCTAAAGGTAAAGAAGTAACAGTAAACCTGAATTTATCCATAAATTCGATTACTGTTTATATGTGTACGCAGAAATTCCTGTTATTATTATTATCAAATACTATGGGTTAATTTACATTCTTTTTTTGTATGTTCCATACTATAACAAACCCATTGCTGTTGTTAACAAAGTTCCTGAATTGTCAAGTATAAAAATAGTATACAACATAATCAATATGTCAAACTTCACATTTATAAATAACTCTAATATTTTTATTACACAGTGATACAATTTATTATAAAAAGGGTTGGTAATAAGGCCTGTCACAAGGCCATTGTGAAATCTTCTTTCATTTCTCAGAAATATCTATTATCAATATTTTTAGAAACGTGCATCTAAATTATCAAAAAATTCCAGAATATTCTACAGCTTTCTGTGTCATATATTCTTGTTAAAATGTGATTTGTAATAAGTTTCTTTCTGTTTCTTTTAGGGTTTGTTTTTGGCCGTACTGTACTGCTTTACCAATTCTGAGGTAAGATTTTCAAGTTTTAATGTCAGTTGTTTTCATATCACTTAAAATACACATTTCAATTTTTGGAACAATATTTTTACATAATTTTCTTAGATTTTTAGTATTGTAGACTTTTTATTGAGCATATACACACATATATATATATATATATATATTAGATGCACATTCTTGCATTTCTTAAAGCATTACTCACTCTATCTTCAGGTACAGACAGCGTTACGAAACGCTTATTTACGTTTTCGTCTGCAGAGATCCACAAAACGATACTCTTCAACAGGCAGTGCCGTTTCCGGTGCACAGGGCACATTTCTGGCGCTTTCGAACTACGAATCTGAACCTGAAAGTTCACGTCTGAAGATATCGCCTTTCAGCAAAAATATTTTACCTCTCCGTAGCTGTCAGGAAACGGAAGCTTGCATTGCCAAGAAAGATAATGGAGAACAATCAAATCATTACCGATCTTTCCAAAATCCGATATTATGAGCAGATATTTTCAAAAGTAAACTTACGATAAAGTATTTGGTTTATTATATCTTGTAAGGTACAGAAGTCGCCAAATGACTCATTTTATTTTAAGAAAAGGGCGATCTTTATGTTCGGTTGCTCGTACTCGCAAAAGTATTAACACGAAAATGAAAAAAGTAGTTTCTATAATATATTGTTTGCTTTTCTTTGCTACGGTGACATTGTTTATGCTTCACGACGATAGATAACTTTTATAGGAATAGCTTGATTCCAAATAGTCTTAAAAACTAATAATTACATCATTTGGCATGAACATAGATAATACGTGTGTTCCAAAAACCTAGAAAATCAGTTAAATGTTTGACTATTCTATGGGCCCGACATGGCCAACTGGTTAGGGAGCTCGACTCGCAATCGGAGGGTCGCGGGTTCGAATCCCCGTTTTACCAAACATGCTCACCCTTTCAGCCGTGGGGGCGTTATAATGTTACAGTCAATCCCACTATTTGTTGGTAAAAGAGTAGCCCAAGATTGGCGGTGGGTGATGATGACTAGCTGCCCTCCCTCTAGTCTTACACTACTAAATTAGGGGCGGCTGGCGCAGATAGCCCTCTTGTAGCTTTGCGCGAAATTCAAAACAAACAAACAAACTATTCTATGAATGCTTCACTTCCGTTTCTGTACGTTTTAGAAACGTAGTACCAGCATAAAGTACTTGAACAGCAGGGACTCCAAAGGGTGAAATATAGTCATCCTTAATTTTGAACCCCCTGAATAGAGGAAGATTAACAAGTTAGCCATACTCACGGCTGCTTTTAACCGTGAAACGGGATGGACTGTGGCTGTTATAACGTCTTCACAGTTAAAAATTCGAAGCGTGTTCAGCAGCCCAGCAGATTAACCATTAAGTCATCCTAGCTTCTGCTCGAAGTAGTTATGTCACTAGAGAACACATAAAAACTGGCAGTAGCTAAACTTGCATTCTAGCATCGTATTTTTAACGTGTTAAGAACTTGAAATTTCATTTTTCTATTTATTGTCGTTTCATGTTAAGCGAGTAAACTCGTCAAGTAATACAAAATAAAACAAAAACAAACCTAACAGGTTGTGAGTTGCTCACTATGACTGTCACTACTCTGCTTTTATGCCTACGTAAGTACCAATGTAAGCTTTAAGAAAATCTCATGCACCAGTTTTCTTCGTTTATTTGGAGTTTGTCCTTGCAGATAAACAGAATTTAATATGCACAAACAAGATAGTGCTCTTAAGATTTAATTGATTACGACTATGCTCCCACTTTGTCAGAGGCAGCTTCAACCATTTTCATAAAATTTTTTGTTTAAATAAGAGTTTTATGAAGACGCAGTAAATAGTAATTTTCGCCAACTATTTGTAGCTAGACATTAATGTAAGCTTCTGATCAAAACAAGCTACCTACACAGATCAGAACTAAAAATAAGCCTAGTAATGAGCCCGATGGGACAACGGTAATTTTACGAACTTACAACGCTAAGATCCGGGTTCGATTCCCCATTGTGGCCTTGCTCTAAATAATCTAACAAACAAACAAAACAACAGGTGACAGAGTTATACCAATTTAGATCCGCTCTTCTATAGCTTCTTTAGTTGTGACGCTTCTTACAATACAAAAAAAGAAGGTAACAGCGAAATATTGGTGAGTTTTCTATAGAAAAACAACGGATCTATATATATATATATATATATATATATTAACTGTACATAGAAACTCAACTTTTTGTCATGGTATGCAAAGCTCTGAGATATAACTGTTTTAGATAAAATAAGTTCACTCTTCTTCTACAACTCCTTTACTGAATAATTACTAAATAGCACAAACATGTGTGTTTTTATTGATTTCATTTAAGATTTTCGAGCCTGGTGGTTAGACGGCTCGACTCGTAATCTAAAAGTCACAAGTTTAAATCTCCGTTACCTATATGGTTGCTGACTGGTTCAGCCAAACGGGTGTAAAAATGTTTGCCTTTCAAAATTACCGCCGACCCCAAGCTAGCTGGGATTAACGTCGAAATGAAAAGAAAAAAAAAGAAACATATCAGGTTGTTGTTCAGTCAGTGTTCGTGGATATCAGGATATCTATCTATTAGTGTGCCGTTAGTATAAGTTTGATCAAAATGTTTAATATACAATAATTTTTTACAATTATAAATGTTTGCTAAAGAAAACGGGCTGCAAGGTGTTGCTATTGTGTTTTTCTCACACGTGGATCTGGATCCAGCTAATCACTATGGCTTATGTTGTTTGTGTCCGTTAGTCACATTGATAACACAGGTCTACTAATTTAAGGCCCGGCATGGCCAGGTGGTAAGGGCGCTCGACTCGCAATCTGCGGGTTCGAATCCCCGTCCCACCAAACATGCTCACCCTTTCAGCCGTTGGGGGCGTTATAATGTGACGTTCAATCCCACTATTCGTTGGTAAAAGATTAGCCCAAGAGTTGGCGGTGGGTGGTGATGACTAGCTGCCTTCCCTCTAGTCTTACACTGCTAAATTAGGGACGGCTAGCGCAGATAGCCCTCGTGTAGCTTGGCGCGAAATTCAAAACAAACAAACTAGTAATTTCAACTTCATAAAAGTTATTTTGGTTTCAATAACGGATTTTCCATAATTCAGCTACGCAGATTTCGAAAATAATATTAATTTGATCTATTACTTAGATAAAATTATTATTTTAAATTCGATGACGAGGAACCCACTTTGAGACTAATAATGGCTGGAGACGGCTTGAATGGGTAATGAAGAAAACTTTAACATAAGTTTAATTGT